GTGCAAGGCAAACGCCTAAGCCACTGTGTTATTGAACTGTTACAAATTACATATGATAGATTTGTTGTATAGCCATATAGATTGCTATAGACTTTTAAAATTATTATCTTTGGGGCTGGAGCGATAGCACAGCGGGTAAGGCGTTTGCCTTGCACGCAGTCAACATGGCCAACACAGGTTCGATTCCCAGCATCCCATATGGTCCCCCGAGCACCGCCAGGAGCAATTCCTGAGTGCATCAGCCAGGAGTAACCCCTGAGCATCGCCGGGTGTGCCGAAAAAAATAAAAAATTAATTAAAAATTTTTTAAAAATTTAAAAAAATAAAATTATTATCTTTGTGTTATGAGTGTATATTATACATAAAATATTCCTTGAAACTTTCAGAGCATGTTCACTCTAAAAACACTCACTGATTTTTGTAATAATAATAGTGTTTCTAAGTCATGTTTACTCTTATGTAAGCCACATTCCTTGCCTGGGACACTTCATACCACCCACCCTACCCATGCTCCAAGAGTACTGCACATTTGATGTAGTTCAAAGTAGGAGGAGACCAATCTTAGAGGGAAATATTATTTTATGTATGTATATATATATATATGTATGGGCTGGAGCGATAGCACAGCGGGTAGGGCGTTCGCCTTACAAGCGGCCAACATGGCCGACCCGAGTTCGATTCCTCCGCCCCTCTCGGAGAGCCCGGCAAGCTACCGAGAGTATTCGATATGCCAGACACAGTAACAACAAAGTCTCCAATGGAGATGTTACTGGGCCCGCTCGAGCAAATCGACGATCAACGGGAGGGCCTTTACCTTTACCTATATATATGTATGTATATGGGCTGGAGCGATAGCACAGCAGGTAGGGCATTTGCCTTGCACACAGCCAACATTGCCGACCCAAGTTTGATTCCTCCACTCCTCTCAGAGAGCCTGGCAAGCACTGAGGGTATCTCTCCCGCGCGGCAAAGTCTGGCAAGCTACCTGTGATGTATTTTATATGCCAAACACAGTAACAAGTCTCACAATGTTACTGGGCCCACTCGAACAAATCGATGAACAATGGGAGGACAGTGACAGTGATATATGCATATAAAATCACACAAGGCTCAATGCCTAACAACATGCTAGTGGTCTCTTATGAAGGGCTTAATGGCCCCTGGGTGAAATACAACAATCTTTATACTCTATCCACTAAGGAAACTTTTTTGGAGCATTTTCAGAGGTTTTTCATAACAAACAATACAAAATATATATTATTCTGGTTCTGTTTTGGGCATGGATTGGGGTTTGGGATGGAAACATCTGAAATATGGTGGTGGGAAGGTGTAATGATGGTGGGATTAGTGTTTGAATATTAAATGTAATGAAATATTGTTAACTACTTTATAAAATAAAAAATATTATGAAGAATAAAGTGGTCCATGATATAGAGTTTTTAAAAATAATTTTGCCTAACAGCAATATGTTTTTCACTTTTCTTTGTGCCTCTTATGTCAACTCCTGATCTAGTTACTTGTATAAATCTCTGCTCTGGGTTGTGGCTAGTGATGAGATCGATATTTAACAGTAATTTGCTCCTTCTTGAAACTGACCTTTGTCTTTTCTCCCCTGAAGATTGATCAACTATATTTAGTAATGATTTGATACACTCTCCCCACCCTTAAACAGGAATTATTTCTTGCTATTTGAATTAGATTGCTTGGTAAGATAACTACCAGTTTGACGGTTATGGACCCTTTTCAAACAGATTGAGTCAAAAAGTTTTGGATCTGACTTTCTTATTGGTTACTGTTATTATTGTCATTCTTCTGTCATTCATGTGTTGTTATTATTGTGCTACCATTATGGTGTTATAATTATTATATTACTGTGTTGGTCATTGTGTTACTGTTATATTATTCACGTTATATTATTACTGTTATTATTGTGGTATTATTGTGTTGTCATTATATAACTGTTATTGCATTATATTATTACACTATGATTGTGTGGGGTTTTTTTTTTTTTTGCTTATTGGGTCACACCTAGCATTGTAAGGGGTTACTCTTGGTTTATGCACTCAGGAATTACTCCTGGCTGTGCTCAGGGGACCATATGGGGTTCTGGGAATCAAACCCAGATCGGCCACATGCAAGGCAAATGCTCTACCAACTGTGCTATCACTCCAGCCCCTATAATTGTGTTTTTATTAAATCATTTGTTTTTATTATAATATTGTGTTATTATTATGCTACTGATTTTCACTCTAACTGTCATTATTTACTGGAGAGAATTAGAAATGTGACCAATGTGTCTTTCCTAATTTTCTCCCTTTGGGAATCTGAATTAGTTGTCAAAGTTGACTGTGTTCCAGACCAGCATGATTGTGGTGAAAAATCCCTAAGTGGTAGAAATGAATTTTTTAAAAAAAAATTTTATTAGTGAAATACCATGAGGTACAGTTTTAGACTTAATTTTTTTTCCTTTAGTTTCTTTTTATGATTTTTTAAGAATTTTTATTAGTGAAACACCATGAGGTACAGTTGTAGATTTACAAATTTTTGTGCTTGGGTTTCGATTATACAATGATCAAGTACCCATCCCTCCACCAGTGCCCATTTTCCACCACCATGGATCCCAGTATCCCTCCCACACCCATGCCCCTCCATCCCACCCTGCCTCTGTGACCGAGCATTCCCTTTTGTTCTCTCTCTCCTTTTGGGTGCTGTGGTTTTCAATAGAGGCATTGAGTGGCAATCATGTTCGGTCTATAGCCTACTTTCAGCATGCTTCTCCCATCCTGGGAGGATCCTCCCAACACCCTTTATTTGGTGTTCCCTTCTCTATCTGAGCTGCCTTTTCCCCTAGCATGTGCGGCTGGCCTTGAAGCCATGGAGTAAACCTCCTGGTACTTATTTCAGCTATTCTTGGGCGTTAGTCTCCTATTTTGTTACTTTATGTTCCCGAGATAAATGCAGTCTTTCTATGTCTGTCCCTCTCTTTCTGACTCAGTGAATTCTTAAGCACCCAAACAGTATCTCTTAAGCTGAATAAGCGCCTGGCTCCTTTAATAAATAAGTAACAAGTATATTTAGTAAAATTCTTTTTTTTCTTTGGCTTTTTGGGTCACATCTGGAGATACACAGGGGTTACTCCTGGCTCTCCACTCAGGAATCACCCCTGGTGGTGCTCAGGGGACCATATGGGATACTGGGAATTGAACCCGGGTTGGCCGCATGCAAGGCAAATGCCCTACCCGCTGTACTATTGCTCCAGCCCCATAGGAAAATTCTTTTAAAAATTATTTTCTGGGGTGGAATAGTAGGTAGAGCATGTAAAGAGCTTGGTTTTACACATATATGGCCTGGGTTTTATCCCCAGAACCCTATATGATCCCCAGAACCCCATCAGGAGTAATCCCTGAATACAGAGCCCAGACTAAGCCTTGAGTACTGCTGGGTGTCATCCTAAGACAAAACAAAACAAATTTAGTTTCTGATATGCAAAATCAGTATTGACAACAGTGTGCTAGGTGTTATTGGTTTACCTGTGGTTAGAGGGTTCAATCTTTTCATCACTGTCACTGTCTTCCCATTGTTCATCGATTTTCTTAAGTGGGCCCAGTAACATCTCCATCGTGAGATTTTGTTGTTACTCTGTTTGGCATATTGAATACGTCATGGGTAGCTTGCCAGGCTTTGCTGTGCAGGCGAGATTCTCTCGGTAGCTTGCTAGGCTCTACGAGAGGGGCGGAAGAATCAAACTTGGGTCGGCCATGTTGGCTGCAAGCAAGGCAAATGCCTTACCCACTATGCTATCGCTCCAGCTCCAATCTTTTCATGAATTAAGAAATATTTTCCTCTAGGGTGGTGAGTCAAGCAAGCAACCACAGTTAACCAGAAGACCCCTTCTCAGCTAAGGTGCCCACATGAGCACCTAGAACAGAGAGGACTCGTATGGTTTTAGAAGTGCACCAGAAGTAGAACTCTAACCCAGGACCAGCACCAACACAGGCCCCTCCCCCACAGGTACATCAGGGGTGGGGAGCGTGGACTCTAGAACAGCATGCTGAGCAAACAGCCACAGTTAATTTCCCCTCTCATGCAGCCACAGTTATTTTCCCCCTTCATAGCACTTGGAACTCATATCTTAACGTCCGTTACCTAATTCTTAAGAGAACAGCCTGGCTATCCCAAACACATTAGATCAATAGTCCACTAGACCACACCAATCAAAATACTCCCCACGGTCACGGTCACGGTCCTCCTGTTGTTCATCGATTTGCTTGAGTGGGCCCAGTAACGTCTCCATCATGAGACTTGTTGTTACTGTGTTTGGCATATCGAATATGTCACAGGTAGCTTGCCAGGCTCTGCCGTGCGGGTGAGGTACTCTCGGTAGCTTGCCGGGCTCTCCGAGAGGGGCAGATGAATCGAACTCAGAAAATACTACCCAAACTTAACAAAATAACGGTGAACACAAGAATCTGAACAAGCTTAATGTAAAAGAACACATTCCCTGTAGCTACACTAGAGGCCCTACATAAGTCACACAAGAGAACCAAAGAGGAAGTTGGTATTCTAGAAGGGGAAAAAGGTGATGTCCATCAACGAAGCTCATCCAGAATCCTCTCTCACAGCAAGATGGGGACCCTGATAGTGAACTGGATGGACCCACCTCCATATTACCGCAGCAACATGGGGAAACAGCACAGATCCCAACCATGAGGAGTGGGTGAAAAAAAGAGCCCAGAAGCCTCAACAGGGAATATCCACAAATACAATCTCTACTATAAAGAATTCGTAGATGAAATGTTGAGAATGCTCAATGAGCTTAAAGAAACAGTGGAATGGACATCCAGTAAATTAATGAAGGACATAAAGAAAAAAAGTATAACAGATAACCAATAAAATACAGAAAAAATGAGATCAGAAATAAAAAAGCTATAAATATAGGTCTCACTAATAAAGTATTTTTAGATGAACTTAAAAACTGAGTGGGTGCCCTCAACAGTACAATGACAACAGCCAGAGACAGAATCAGCAAGCTTGAAGATGAGCTGCAGAAAATGAACAGGCAGCAACAGAAAATGGAAAAAGACCTCAAAAGAGCTTCAGGGCAAGTATGAGATCTAGGAGGATCCACAAGCATAGAGACATGGTCCTGTGTGGTTCACAGGTTGCAGAAACATAGACAAGAGATTTCTGTCATCTTGACACAGTGATTCATCTTATAAGTACAGGATACAGCCCCCACCTTGCCATGTCTTCATGTATGGCCCATTCTTCCCTTTGTCTGCACAAGGTGCCCACCAGGTCACCATGCCAGCATGCTGCTGCCCCAGTGTTTCTGTTCTTTCATGCTATTGACTCTACAATGCCTGATCCTCACACTCACTGCAGCACCCACATGACCACACATAGAGCCCCAGCTCATATGTTGCTGTCTCTATACAGGGGGCCCCATGTTACCATGTCTACATGCTGTAGTCCCCACTTTGTTATTTTTAAATTTTTACTAGTGAAAAAACCATGAGGTACAGTTGTAGACTTACAAATTTCTGTGCTTGGATTTCAGTTATACAATGATTGAGTACCCGTTCCTCCACCAGTTCCCATTATCCTCCACCACTGATCCCGGTATCCCTCCCACTCCCCATCCCCCCATCCCACCCTGCCTCTGTACCAGGGCATTCCCTTTTGTTCTCTCTCTCCTTTTGGGTGCTGTGGTCTGCAAAAGAGGAATTGAGTGGCAATCATGTTCGGTCTATAGTCTACTTTCAGCATGCTTCTCCCATCCTGGGAGGATCCTCCCAACACCCTTTATTTGGTGCTCCTTTCTCTATCTGAGCTGCAATTCCCCCTAGCATGAAGCTGCCTTTTCCCTTAGTATGCGGATAGCCCCCATTTTGACCTGTATGCAAGTTGTAGTCACTACATCATGGTGTTCAAATTAAAGTACCTGAGTTTTGTGTCTGCAAACCATGGAATATGCAAGCTGTGTCTAGAGGCAGGCATATCCCACAGGGTTTTGCATGCTATGGAACCTACAAGGTGTGTCTGTACACAGGTGAATCCTGCAAGACAGTGTGTTTCTGATCTCCACTTCTGCAAGCTGTGGAACCCCGAGGGCATGTCTGTATGTGGGCAATTCCAACCTGTTTGTGTCTGCATCCTGTGGCTCCTGCATCACCCTGTCTTCATGCACCTTGCAGATATTGCAAGGTAAGTGCGTCTATATCCAGGGTAAGTGACATGGGAGCTACATCTTGTGACCACAGTAAAGCAGGGAGTGTGCTGTTGGAACCATCAATGTGCATTCACAGCCTCATGGTGTTTTCAGAAATAGGAACAAGGGGGTCATTTTGCGCAGAGACAGCAAAGTGGGAACTGCAGTGTGCAGACATGGCAGCACCAGGGCTGCTGCATAGAGCTACAGTGATGTGGGGATCATGCCTATGAAGCATCGTATGGTCTGGAGCTCAAGGCACAGTGACATGGGGTTAATAGCATGCTGACATGGGGTTAACATCAACATTCAATACATGGGTCTATTGTGTGTGCTGACATGGTGATATTCAAATGAGAGCTACACCTAGCAGAGATGGCAATCTGGGGGCCACCACATACAGACAGGGTGACGCATGGACCATGGGTGACACATATGGTAATTCAGGTTCACTGTGCTATACACAATGAAGTGCAGATTGCAGCATGCAGACAAGGCAACTTAGGGTAAGTATCATGTAGACACAGACTTTTGGGATTCAAAGAGTATAGACAGAGTTGTGTTGGGGTCATGGTTTGCAAAACTGAGAACATGAAGGCTGTAACATGCAGACACTGTAACTTGTGATCTTTTGTGTACAGAGAGAACCTCACTGAAATTGCCTACCAGCAGACACGGCTTGTGTGTTCCAGGGCTTGTAGACAGACCATGTTGTCCCAGCTTGTAGACATGGTGACACAGTAACCATGGCTTTCACACCCAAAGCAGAGGCCATGGTGTGTAGTCTTGGTGACATGAGAGCCACTGCATGCAGACACATGGCACATGGACTGGGGAATGCACACTTAGTAGGTTGGTGCCATATCAACTAGACAAAACATGGAAGGGTCAGTGACTTTTGACAAAGTGATACAGACATGGAGCCATGAGAACCACAACGTGCTACACAGTTATGTGGAGTTCATGACATGTAGACATGGTGACCCATGGGCCAGGGTGCACACACCTGGCAACACAAGACTGCATTGTGCAGACACAGTCATTCAAGAGATGCTGTGTGGAGACACGGTCTCACAGAGTGTGTCAGCATATAGACACAGTCTTGTAGATTCCACAATGTGCAGACAAGGCATTGCAGGGTCAACAGTTTTCAGACAGGGAGTCTTGGCTTGTGGACACAAACTCATGAAAATCTCTCATGTGTAGACACTGTCTTGAGGAGTCTGTGGCTTGCAGAAACAGAGAGATACAGGGACCAAATTGTATAGACTCTGTGTTGCAGGTATGTTGGTATGTAGAAACAGCGAAACACTGCTATGGCAAGCAGTCAAGGTGACCCAGGACTTAGCATGCAGGCAAGTCATCATGTGATCCATGGCTTGAGACATGGTGACATGGGGGATGTGGCATTCAGACGTGTTCTCGCTGGAACCACCAGCATGCATACATAGCCTCTCTGGGCCTATGGATTGCAAACATGGCATTTCTGGGTCCATGATTTGCATACAAGGATATGTGTACAGATGCAGAGTGCAGATACGGTGAAGCAGTGCTGCCAAGTGGAGCCTTGGTGGTATATAGAGACATACAGATGGGCTGTGGCATATAGACATGTCAACTCGGCTGGCCATTGAGTCCATACACAGCAACGTGGGGTCTGCTGGGAACAGACAATGAGGTCTTGGCATGCCTACAAAGCTTTGAGGATCAACAGGGTACAGACAGGGCAAGGTGGGAGCTTCTGTGTGCAGAGAGAAAATTTCAGGAACTCCCACATGTAAATGTGACCCCATGGAGCCTGTGGCTCGCATAAATAGAGATGCATGCTAATATGGCAAAATGGAAACCACCTACATGCAGGGAATGCTTCAGGGGGCTGAAACATTCAAACATGGTGACATGATGGCTATAGCCTACTAACAAATTGGCATGGGGTGACATGGCTTACAGATACTGTGGATCAGCTGGCCATGGAGTGCAGACACAAGAATGTGGGGGCCGCAGCATGCAGACATGGAGGGAGACACAAGGACCACAGATCACCCGCACATACAGAAAGTGGGGCCTTCTGTATGAGGACATGGCCTCTTGGGAACCCCCAAGTACAGACACAGCTTGTGGGGTCCACCACATGCAGACAAGACACTGTGGGCTCTGCAGGTTTCACAGAGAGTCATAGCTTGCAGGCACAGTAACACGGAGCCCATGATGAGACATGGTGCATATTGTGCAGGCATGGTGAAGTAGGTCCACTGTGTGCAGACAAGTCATCACCTGGCTCAAAGATTGAGATATGGTGACACTGGGGTTGTGACATGCCAACGTGACCTCACTAGAATCACTCACATGCAGACTCAGACTCTGAGACTATGGCTTGCAGACACAGCTACATGGAGCCTGCAGTCTTAAGACTTGTGAGGTCCTCACATGCAGATACTGCAGTGTGGGTTCTGCAGCTTTTCATAGGAAATACTTACGTGTCATCAGGGTCCTGTGGGTTTTGTGGCATTCAGAGATGGTGATGCTGGGACCCCTTTGTGCAGACATGGCAATGTAGAGGGTCCATGCATGCAGATGTGGTGATATGGTGTCCATAACATGCAGCTACTACCTTAAGGTGGTTGCAGCATGCATACATGGTGATATGGGGACTGCAGAGTGAAGATATAATCTTCTAGCAAACACCTACTTGCAGACAGTATATCAGTTGGATGCAGCATTCAAACATGGTTATTCGGGGATCGTAAAATGCAGACCCTTCCCGGAGGAGGTATCAGCATGCAAACATTGTGATTTGGGTGTTGAGGCATGTGGACACAGTGACATGGGGGGAAATGGCATACAGGCATGTGACAGTGAAGACTGAAGTATACAGACTCAGAGAATTATGAGCTACGGCAAGCATAAAAGGTGGCATGAGCACCATTGCATACAGACAAGGCGTGTGCCTTCTGTAGCATGCAGGCACAGTGACTCAGGGGTCTTCCATGTAGACATGTCCTTTCAGGGTCCACAGCTTGCAGACAAAATCTCCAGTGACAAACCTGTCTGCAGATGTAGTTTGCTTTTACAGTTTTCAGAGACAGTGTTCAAGTGCCACACAAGGAGAAGTGGTGACTCAGAGGCCAAGATACGCAGACAGACTGAAACATGGCTCATAAATTGCCCACACAAGTTGCACAGCAAGTAGACATGATGACATGGGGGCCAAAGAGTTCAGACAAGGCACCATGGGCCCTGGAGCACTTGAACCAGGCAAAGTGTGGCTGCAGCATGTAGACATGGCAAAACATAGGCTGTGGTGTGTACACACGGCAATATAGGGTTGCAATGTGCAGAAGCAGTGACATGGGAGCGTCTACATATAGACATAGTCTCATAGGATGTTCATGCATGCTATTGTGGCCTCAGTTTCTGTGGCATCCTATCTGCAACTTGTGAAGAGGGTTATATGGGAGCCATGGCACACAGACATGAATCCCCAGAAGTCTCTCAATTCAGATATGGCATTTTAGGGTCCACACCATGCAGAAAAAAGGATGTGGGGCTATGGCAAGCAGACATGGCTATGGGCTCTCAGGGTGCTGCCATGGTGACTTGGCGGCTATGGCAGAAGATATGACTTCCTGGGGTCCACAGCATGCAGAAATAGTGATATGGAAGGCTATGCTATGGCATGCAGTCAAGGTGATATGGGGGCTACAGCACCCAGCCATGATGATGCGGGGCCAAGCCTGAAAGCAAAGTGATATAAGTGGAATAATTTGCAGACATATCAAGGTTGGGATTGTGAATGCAGACTAAATGACACACAGGTGGCAGCATGCCACATGTTGATGTAGGGGCCGTGGCATTTAATAGGCCAGGAAAACTGGGGTGGTGGTGGCTTGAAGATAAGGTAACAAAGGGACCATGGTTTTCAGACATGGTGATTCAGGGACCACTGTGTGCAAACACACAGAGGCATGGAGGTCACATTTGCACTAATAGGAACGTGAAGGACCGCTGTATGCACACAGTGTGACACTGGGTATTGCAAATAAGGCATTGCAGGACTATGACATAGAGAGATGATGTAGGAGCAGCAGGGTAAAGCCACAAGAGGTGTGACAACAGCGAGGTGGGCCCAAAGAGTGTAGATACAATGACCCACAGGGCACAACCTTGCAGGAAATGCCTGTTTACAGACACAGCCTTGTGGGTCCGTGGCATTCAGATATAGCAATGCAGGCCAAGTCATGCCAACATGGAGATGTAGTGACACAGCGTGCAGACATGATAACATGGGGGTTGCAGTGAGTAGACACAGTCATTTGATCCCTCTGACATGTACACAACCTTGCAGTAATGCCTGGTTGCAGACAAAGCCAATCATAGTGAGAACTCCCACATACATATAGATAGAGAATAGGTGTGACTTGACAGCTCCTAGCAGATCTGATGGGATATGAGGTTCATGGCATGTAGGGGCATACCACAGACCTCATCAGTCCTAGATTTCCCCAGCTGTTCCCAAGGTGACAGAGGTGGGTAGAGAGGAAGTTACAGGCCCCTTCTCAAGGGTGCTGCCTCTCTCTCACTTTACATATGTCACAAGTATATCCCACCCACATCAAGACCAACACCAGTCCAGGTGCCTCTCCTCCCTCCTATTCACCCTAACTTGACTCTTTCCTCTTTGATTTCTTTTACCTCTTGCCTTAGTGCATTGAATCAATATGATTTTAACCTTTTCATGTATCAAATGTCGGGTATAAGAGAAAATTTTAAGATAAAAGTCTCCAAGGAGGGACAAGTGAGACAGTACAGTAGGCAGGGTGCCTGCCTTGCACTTGGACAATGCCCTTTCAATCCTGAGCACCCCATGTAGGGGGCAATTGCCTCAACACACACACAGCTCCATGTTTAATCCTGTCACCAGGTACCCTCTCCAGCACACTGAGGAGGCCCTTAGCATGGGTGTGGTAGAGTATTGAACTGTCTGGCCCTGAGGGAGCTGGGATCATCAGGCACCAGTGGCCCCAGTTTCCCTGAGCACTATTGAAAGGCCCCTTCAAAAAAGCTTTCTGGAACATCCAACAAGTGATTCTGGGTAATGTGTGTGGATAGTTCCATGTAGACAAGTGCATGGATAGGGAAGGAAAGTGTTTGGGATCAGGCCTGCAGTGTAAACAGCATCTACATGACAGCACCTGGAATCATCTCTTCAGCCTAGGGACCTGGAGGGTGATTCTGGGAAGGAGAGAGATTGTGTAAAGCCCTCCCTCTCAGTCCCTGGATGAGCTGTGGCCAGACTGGCAGAGGCAAAGATGTCCCAGAGTCAAGCCTCAACACATCTCAGTGACTCTTGACAGTTGACAGGTCTGGAAATGTACCCCAGCCTCCCGTGAGCCACTGCTACTTTGCCTCATCCAGAGGGTCACAGGAGTCAGTGCTCCGGCCCTCTGTTCACCAGTCATATATCAATCCCTTCTTACTATGCAAACACATGGGATATGGTGGGGTAACTGCATAAACAGGGACTCTGCCCCCCAGTGCTCCCAGTTGGGGATATTGATGGGCAAACATGCCCACTCCCACAGCTCATGTCTTGTCTATTGTAGCGAGCAGGGAATTGGCTCTACCCTGCGAGTTCAGGGCTTACTCCTGTCTCTGAGCACAGGGTAACTCCTGATGGTTTTGTGTGGGGGGGGGGGGGACGGTGTGTGGTGTCAGTCTCTGAACCCAGGTGGGACATGGACAAGCAAGTGCCCTATCCATTTCACTCCCTCCAGCCTAAACAACTATTCCTAACAGGAGGAGAATGGGAACAAGTAGCAGGAGCCTGGGTATGGGAGTACAGACTTGTGAGACTAGAGTGGGGGTGACATTCCCTAGGTCTGAGCACATGCCCCAGAATGGTGGAAGGGAAGAACATTCCAGCCAGAGGCTGTTTTCGGAAGGCCAGGGCTTCATCCTGGACAGGGTGAGTGTCACCACGACCCTCTCCTTCCCCACACATGATTTCCATGTCCCTACTAGGATGTCCTCCAGCAGCGCTGAGGTCCACATCCCCCAGGAGTATTCTACCCCAAGCACACAGCAACATTCCAGCAAGAGAGGCTGGAGGCTGGGTGGAATCAGGATTCTGGAGGCTGGACAGAGAGGAAATAAAGAGAAGAGTGGAAGGCCCCAGAGTGGGAGGTACGTTTTCTTTTGATGTGCAGAGTGCATGAGGAAGAGATTTGTCAGTTGGACGAAAGAGGAACTTACAGTGGAGTGCTTTGAGAACGTTCACTGAATCAAAGATCAGGTGCACTGGGAGTCAGAGTCCCTCTTCCAGGCCATGCTGCAGACACCCTGGCTGCTGCTGGTGGTCCTCTGTCTGGGTGCTGGCAGTGAGGATGGTGAGATCTCTGCTCTGGCACCTCTGTGGCCCATAACACTATGTTTCCCCACCAGTCTCTTTGAAGACTGGGTCTGGAACTTGAGATCTGTTGAACTGCTCCTGCTATGCAGACACAAGAGATATGGTGGGGTGACAGCACAAACAGGGATACTGCCCTGATTCCTGGGTCCTTTCCACTTTTTTCTTTTTCCTTTCCTCTGCAGTATGTCTTCCCTGCTGCCCCTTCTCTCACTTCTTTTCCCTTTCCTCTCCTACAGCTGCCCAGGGACACATCACCTCTCGTCTCCATCTTATCCAGATCTCAACCTTTGTAAATAGTTCCTCAGTCCAAAAGGAAGGCGCAGCCTGGTTGGATGATTTGCAGACTCATAGCTGGGACAGTGCTGAGGACAAGGTCAAATTCTTGAAGCCCTGGTCCAAAGGCAACTTCAGTACTGAGGAGCTGACGGAGCTGGAAGATCTGTTCAGAGTTTTCTTCATCGGGTTCACTCGGGAAGTACAGGACCGTGTTGAGGAATTCCACTTTGAATGTGAGTTTGTTCTCGGTCTCCCTGGGGTCAGGATGCCACTTCTGATCTTCCCTTCCTCCTTTCTCTTACACTCACAATTGTCCGAGGTGAAATCCTGTTCAATCTCTCCACAAAATATTCTAAATTCTGCTGTTTTCCTGTGCTCTCTTCCAACAGATAAAAATTTTTCTTCTCCAGGGGCTGGAGTGATAGCACAGTGGGTAGGGCGTTTGCCATGCATGTGGCCGACCCAAGTTTGATTCCCATCATCATATATGGGTCCCTGAGCACCGCCAGGGGTAATTCCTGAGTGCAGAGCCAGGAGTAACCCCTGTGCATCACCAGGTGTGACCCAAAAAGCCAAAAAAAAAAATCTTTCTTCTCCATTCTTTGCTTCTCTCAAAACCCTAGACTCTGCAGTGTGGCACTGTCCTTGATCCTCTTTCTTTGTGGCTTCCTGACAGACCCTCTTCCCTTCTCCAGGAGCATTTTTCTGTCTGCACAATCACTCGCTTTTGCAGATCCCCACCTCATATCCTTGCAGTAGCTTCTTTCCTGGAAACATGCTACCCCAAGCAGTCTCTCTGCTGAAAACGCTAGAGTCATGGTTTTGGATTTCTTATTTCACATCTTGGGCTGGAGCGATAGCACGGCGGGTAGGGCGTTCGCCTTACACGCAGCCAACATGGCCGACCTGAGTTCGATTCCTCCGCCCCTCTCGGAGAGCCCGGCAAGCTACCGAGAGTATTCGATATGCCAGACACAGTAACAACAAAGTCTCCAATGGAGACGTTACTGGGCCCACTCGAGCAAATCGACGATCAATGGGAGGGCCTTTACCTTACCTTACCTTTATTTCACATCTCATCAATTCACCCTGCCAAAACATCAAGCTCATTCCTTCATTCCTTTCTCATTTCTTGAAAATAACCTTTTCTATTTGATCCTCTATACAGACCCCTTTGTGATCCAGAGCTCAGTAGGCTATCTAGGAAATCGATAGAACGATTTTTGAGGGCAGCTTTAGGAGGACTGGATTTCCTGAGCTTGAAAAATAAAACCTGCATGCCGGCTCCTGAGGGCGGATGGAAAGCTCAAGTGGTGTGCCAAACTGTCCTGAAGTACAAAGGCATGTGTGACACTATCAGAAAGCTGCTCATGGACACCTGCCCCAGGTTCCTGCTGGGTCTACTGGATGCAGGAAAGGCAGAGCTCCAGAGGCAAGGTGAGGGCACCTTCCTGGGATGTACAAGATAGTGCTGGGGAATTACACAATTTAAGTTCCAGTAAGGACTAGAGATAGCACCATGTGCTGAGCCAGAGCTTTGCTGGGCACTGCCCCAAGCACATACAATTCTTGCCTGCACAGAGAGGTGGAGCACAGTGAGACTGACCCCAAATTTCCTCCTGATAAAGCCCCAAGAGTAAGGAGCAGCAGCAAATCATGTTTGAAAAAGGAGTGGAAGGGGTCCCAGTAAAACTCAGAGGTGTCTGCAGGTCTTCATGAAGATCAGCACCTGACACTTGCCACTTGCTTTCTAGTGAGGCCTGAGGCCTGGCTGTCTTCCCGCCCCAGCCCTGGACCTGGCCACCTGCTGCTCGTGTGCCACGTGTCAGGGTTCTATCCCAAGACCCTGTGGGCCATGTGGGTGCGAGGGGAGCAGGAGCAGCCAGGAACTCAGCGAGTGGACACACTGCCCAATGCTGATGGCACGTGGTATCTCCGGGTGACCCTGGACGTGGGAGTCAAGGAGACAGCTGGTCTGGCCTGCAGAGTGAAGCACAGCAGTCTGGGAGGACAGGACATCATCCTCCACTGGGGTGAGAATGCCTAGGTCCCACTGGAAAAAGGTCTGTCTGACCTCCCTCTGGTCCAGGGCTGTGGGGGTGAAGCTGATCAGGGTCAAAAAAAGGAGGGGGAGGAGGGAGGAGTGGAGGGGCATGGGGAAAGAGTAGGAAGGGGAGCAAGAGGAAGAGAGGAGGAAAGGGGGAAGAGAAACAAGAGGGTGACAGAGATGAAGAGGGAAGAGAGAAGGCTTCTAAGTGGAGGGAAGGCAGGGTAGCCAGAGGAACTAAGAGAGAGAGAAAGGGAAGGGGGAAAGGGACAGAGAGAGTGGGAGGGAGCAAGGAAGAGGGGTAGGTGACAGGGGGCAAGAAGAAGGGTGGAAAGGGAGATAGAATAAAATCTGGAAGAATAGATTATTTCTGGGACTCAGGTGGCAATGGGAATAAAAGCAAAGGCATTAAGGTGTAAAATCACAGTGTTGAAGGAAGGATAGGCAGATTAGTGAGGGTCCCGTCAAGAGAAGGTGAGAAGTGCTGGGATATCAGGGGTGGGTGAGGGACTAGGCTGAAGATGACATCCTCGTGTCCTCCTGGTTTCAGGACTCCCCACCCCCACCAACTGGGTGGTCTGGACTTGGTTGGTACCCGCCTTGGTCCTTCTCTTAGGCCTTGCCTTGTGGGTTTTGAAGCGCAGGTGAGTCTTTATTCTTAATTTTTGTCCACCCTCCCCTTTCCCACCATTTATGTTTATTCCCCCTTAGTCTGTTTTCCTACCACAGGGTTGCAGCCATTTTAAGGTGCCCAGAGAGGAGGCTGTATTAAGCATATTTTCTGCACAGGGAGTCTAGAATTCCTTTCCTGTTATTCAGGCCCAGACTTTGACACCCACTCTTCAACTCCCCGAACCCTACCTAACCCCTTGTGCTTCTATTTACTTTGGGGGCATGGTGCTGGGGATACATCCCCAAGCCTCGAACAAACTGAGCCACCTCCAGGCCCCTTTCCTCTTTTTCAATATGAGTGCTCTAGGGATGTCCCCTCAGGCATAGCTCTTTCTCTAAAGGACTGACACACAGAGAATAATGAATGTGCTCAGATGCTGGTCTGCTGCGGCAGGTATCAGTGTTCCCTGCCTCTGTAATACTGATAGCACCTTCTGGATAGACAGAGCACTTTAAGTTCAGCTGCTCTGCCAAAGAGCCCTCCAGCTGACTCCTGCTATAGGTTGTTACAGATAAAAGAATGAAGTGCAAATGTGGTGCTGCAGTCTCTTAGGTAAACTGATTGCTTTCTTCTTGACAGGGCTTATCAGACTATCCCCTGAGCTCTCAGCCAAGCTCTGTTTCCATTGGGAGTAAGTTCGCAGAGGCCACCCCTTGTTGGGATCATCATGTCCACTGAGTAATTTTCATAAGTGCCCAACTCAGAGTCTCTGAAGGACATGAGACGATATGACTTAGGCGGCATACATCATCAGAGCTGTGTTCATTCTGCAAGGCACCATTGAGGACATCCCGAAGTCTGCAGAGGGGAGAGATATGGAAGAAACACATTCTCAGAATCAATGAAACATGGTGTCTTCCCTTCGGTTTCCTGTGTGAAGCTTTTTTATTGTTGTAACAAAGATCATTTAATCAATTTTATTGTGAAAAACCAAGGTGCTTTCATTGATCATTTAACGTCAGTGGATCTCAACTAAACAATTACCTAAAACTTACATTCAGAGTAGGGGTACAGATCACTTTATATAACAGTATTTCCAGAAAATACAAAAAGAAGGAGTTTCTCGGTTGGTTACTTTGCCACAATTGATTGCATGGGAGGGGTATAAAGCAGGATCCTTACTGCTAGGAATCAGACCCACAGTACCTGTGAGACTCCCTGGGAGAGAGGACATGTCAGCTGGACATCATGGGTCAGATGTCATCCATACAGAAACCAGAAGTGGCACTAGCAGGCCCAGAATCTGCCTACCCAAATGAGGATGACAGCAGCTTCTTTGACAAATGATATTTCAACAGAAGTAGGAAAATGTAATGTGTGAAGTTTAAATTGCAATTTTTCCTCTCTATTTCTGTGAACCTCCTTGCACCTGCAAAATTCTTTTGGCTTAAGCAATGCCTTACCCGATGCATTGGGATAGTAGTGGGAAACTTTGGAATGAGGCAGGTATCTAGGGGCCAGTCCTCTGAGTGACCCATTCTAGGAACTGGAATGTAGACCAGAAATCATAAAAGCAATTATCATAAATCATAGAGATGAGTAAGTCATAAAACATAAAGCCAACCCGAACAGAACAGAAAGTCCAGGTCAACTGGATTACCTAGGCAGATAGAACCACAGAAACAGTTAGTAAATATCTATATGCAACTATAAGCAGAATGTGTTAACCACAAAGATTCCTATCATTCTGACACCCAAATATTTGCTCGAGTGGGCCCAGTAATGTCTCCATTGGAGACTTTGTTGTTACTGTGTCTGGCATATCGAATACTCTCGGTAGCTTGCCAGGCTCTCAGAGAGGGGCGGAGGAATCGAACTCGGGTCGGCCATGTTGGCCGCTTGTAAGGCAAACGCCCTACCCGCTGTGCTATCGCTCCAGCCCCTTAAAAATAAGTTTTACACCCGGGGCACCGCAGAGGGGGCAGATGAGACCCCTCCCCACCCCAAGGGCCCCAGCCCTGGCAGACAAAAACCTCTAGAACTCAAATATCCTGCTCATGGCTGCTCTCTACAAGCTTGGGCAGAGCTTCACCCATGAGTGAACCTTCTCCTGGACCTTTTCCTCAGTGAATGCAGTCGCAAGACACTTCATAGTACACACCATACCCATAGTCCAAGAGTATGGGTATTCATTTGATGGGATTCAAAGTAAGAGGCAACCAACCTTAGAGGGAAACATATTATTTTGGTTCTGCTTTGGGGCAGGGATTGGGGTTCAGGATGGAAACACCTGAAATATGGTGGTGGGAAGGTGTATTGGTGGTGGGATTGGTGTTTGAATATTAAATGTAATCAAATATTGTGAACTTCTTTAAAAAATAAAAAATAATTTTTAAAAATAAGTTTTGTTCTGGTTTGCAGTACAGGTACTGAGAGGTTATCATGTTTGTTATTTAATATGTTTTTATCACTCAGTTTTTATCCAGAGTGATCATGTCCAACTATCTTTTTCATAGTGGTCCCTTCTCTATCCCAACTGCTAACCCCCCCACCCCAGCTATTGCGGCAAGCTTCAAATAGAGGAACAATCCTCCTGTCTCTTGTTTCTACTGTCCTTGAGTCTCTCTCTTTTTTCTATCCCGCCAAAGTCCAATCATTCTATGTCTATCCCTCTCCTTCTGACTCAGTTCACTCAGCACAATACTCCTCATGTTTATCCATTTATAAGTGAATTTCATAACTTCATTTTCCAAACACCTACACAATATACCATTCTGTAACTGGCGACTTATTTATTGTCAAATAATTTTTATTGACTTATAAATTATCTGCAAATTTAGTATATATTGAGTATGTACATCGAAATCCTTTCGGACAGGAACATACAACCATTATATCAAGGATTTAACACATCTCTTTCTTCTAAGAATAAAACATCTACTTTTCCCAGGGAAATTAGAAGGTGCTGCTAGAAAAGACTTTTATTATGGGAGCTGGTAGGTAACTTCCCAGAAGGAGAGGGGAGATCAGCATGTTGGCAGAATGTTGGCAGAGTAGTTCAATGCCAGAAATCTTACCATGGGTCCTGGGATAAGCTGTCTTTATACGTTCACATAAACAGCATAGTCATTACCTAAAGGAAAATTTGCTGGAAAAGAAAGAAAAGTCACTGCGGGGGGGGGGGGGGGTTAAGGTCATAAACTCTGAAACTAAATATTGAAGTAAAAGAACTCGAACATGTCAACTTCCTGGAAGTCTGGCCGACTTGGAAGGCTGAACAACTGTTGGACAGGGAGTGAGGCTCTGAGAGAAGAGAACAGTTAAGTAGCTCTAAAACTAGGGACTCCACACATTTCCTCTCCACCTTGTCTGTACCTTGTACAGGTGAATTTATTTATTTGCCGTGCCTGGATAAAATCTAAGACCACACACAGGAAATCTTTGCACTCTGTTGTGGAAAATCCAATTCCTCAGCACTGAGATTTCATGACATGAAACATTTGTACAGTCATGGTTTATAGTTACAATAGAGATTTACATCACTTTATAGACATTAGAATTTTATTAAGTAGGCATTATTTAGATTACTACCATAAAATTTGTCAATCATATTTGTTTAGAGGAAATACAGGGAGGTAACTGACAATCACAATTTTAATAGTGGCAGATAAAAGTCACACATTCAGGCCTGGAGAGATAGCATAGCAGACAGGGCATTTGTCTTACACACAGCCAACCTGGACTTCAATCCCCAGCAACTCAGATGGTCTCTCAACCTAAGTCCTGAGCAATGCTGGTTGTGACTCCAAAAGAAAAAAAAAATCGCACATAATGTGCTCAAAATACCATTTAACATCATTTTTAGGTGATTTCCCTCTTGTCATTTTCTTACAAAGGCATATTGATGCTTCTAAAGCCACAGCTTGCAACATGTTTCCTGTGAATTTTTCAGTGTTGATGAGGTTAACAAAAGGGGATCTTGGAGAGTGAGTGTAGGAGGGTCCCAAGAAAGGCATAGCATGGGGATATCCTCTTAAGGACTCCTGTGCAACCAGTAGAGGCATCCTATTCTCTGCCCTGTGGGCCCTGATGTGAAACGGCTGCAGACAGCAAGACGATTCCCCCATAGAGTAGCAGCTTGTGGTTCTTATGAGCTCTATTAAGACAGTCCTTTGAGACAGTTCTCTCCTGTGGATGTTCCTATCTTCTCTCATGCTTGTCCCAACCTCAGGCTCCAAACAGGTATATGGGTATGTGTAGGTTGGGGTGAGGATAGGGAGGCCTCTGGAAAAACCCCAGGGCACAGTGGCCAGAGTTCACATTGGCTAAGTCATGTTCATCCACAGTAAACTGCAGAACAAGGAACATGTGATTAAGACTCTGCACCAGGCCAACATCAGGTTCCCTGGTCACCAGAAGATCACAGCTTCAAGAAACAAAAGGTAAAGGTAAAGGCCCTCCCGTTGATCGTCGATTTGCTCGAGCGGGCCCAGTAACGTCTCCATTGGAGACTTTGTTGTTACTGTGTCTGGCATATCGAATACTCTCGGTAGCTTGCCGGGCTCTCCGAGAGGGGCGGAGGAATCGAACTCAGGTCGACCATGTTGGCCGCTTGTAAGGCGAACGCCCTACCCGCTGTGCTATTGCTCCAGCCCTCAAGAAACAAAGCGTACCAAATTCAACGTGAATGAGTTTAAAGATATGGTGGGCAAGAAGCAGCTCATCCCAGATGTGGGAACAAATACTTCCTGAATCCTGGGCCTCTGGACAAACGGGGAACACTGCAATCTTGAGAGCCTTGGAGCTCCCCAACCCGGCCCTCACCAACCTGTCCCACCCCACAGCAATAAATCTTGCTTCTTAACAGATAGAGTCCTGACCACATACATATTGAAAAATAGTGAATTGATCTTACAGCACACAGCAGCGAAGAAAACCAGCTGCTGGGCTCCGGGCTCCACAACTTCCAGAGAATTCTCTGGGCCCCATACTGAGCCGATGTCACCGGGAGGTCCCAGATGGGGTAGGTGCTGTCTCCCCACCTTCTCCCGATGAAATCCTGGTGACCATGAGCTTCTACAAGCATGGCTCTGGCATGTGGGCACCAGGACTATTTCCAGAACTGTGCGGCATTTCCTAATATGCAAAGTGATCAATGGAAAGTAAATGATCTAGCTTTTGTCCCTGAAAAACATGCTTAAATGGTGGTGGGAAAATCTGAGCAAAATATAATGCCCAACCAAAATGCCCCTGGACTGTGCATTTAACTATGGTTCTATGCTGCCCTGGGAGGGGAAAAGTGTCCGTCCCTCCACCTGTCCCCCTTGCAGCGGTGGCATGATGGCCTGCATCTTTTAGAGCATAATGAGCAGCCAGGTATGAGGGTATGAGACTGCATTGACAAGGCACGTGGGGCCTCTTGGGATGGGGGGTGAAACCGGACCTGCTCCCCTCCATGACAATGCTCCGGGTTGCCACCCTCAAATGCCTCCTCCAGCTTCTAAACAACCATGAACCCAGAGGCACACAAACCAATCTCGGAACCCAGGGACTTTTGGCAGTAATCCCTCTAGGTTTATTACTAAAATATCAGAAATCCAAATTCGTGTGGCAGCAATTGTGGCCACACGTCATCATATCCTCTTCATAATCAGCAATAGAAAACAAATTATCTAATGATGTACTTCTGGCAGGTTTGAATCTTGGGGAAAATTCCAAATAATAATGTTGGATCTTTTGTCATAATATTGAATGTGATCATCGTAGAGAGAGAGTAAAGTGGAAATCTGCTACATGGGGGTGGGTGGGAGAGGGAGTTTACAGGGGCTCTTGGTGGTGGAAAATGTGCACTGGTGAAGGGATGGGTGTTTGATCATTTTATGACCAACCGAGACTTGAACTGAAGGGTTTTTTGACTGTTCTCATGGTGATTCAATAAATAAATGAAAAAAAAAAGGCAGAAAAATGGTGAATCTGCACTGATGAAATTTTGTGAAGCAAGGAGAAAATCATGATACACGCTATGCACTAAAACTTAAGTAAATATTAAACTATCTTTTTTACAGTATATTTTAAGCATGAATTTTAATTTAGGAGAATTCTTTTCAATGATTTTTTACTGTTTAAAATTATTTTTATATTATTATAGATATATATACATACTTTGCCTTGTGTAGTTCTTTCCTTTGACTTGTGGGTCTGGTACACTACAGAGTGAGCAGTGGTATGGGGTTATTTTAACCAATCTGAAAGCAAAATTGCTTGTGGAATAAATGTAATTTTACTCTAAAACTTATTTTTTATTTTTATTTAGTAAGCAATTCTATAATTGGATAAAACTATGTTGGACTCTACTACTTTCACCTCTAGAATTTCCATGCACCTTTTTACTCTATTTGTTATTTTTATAAATAAGGCCCAAATTTACAGTCCCTGGCAATGTGTATCCCCTCCCCCAACTCAGCACTGCCAGCTGTGTCCCTGAGACATCATGCTATCTACAAACTTACTATTGGGTCCTAGGAGCTGTCATATCAGGCTGCTTAGAAGTGTCTCATTTGTTTGCTTTGTATTGTTTCTGATGATGCCTCTGAGTTTGGGTTTATATTTTGCCTACTCTGCCATGAATCACGTGGGCACCTCAGGCTACAAGGTCAAGGTTTTCATGACTCTCCCTGCCCAGGTAGAATATCACTGAATGTCCTGGAATGAAAGGTGGGGAAATCAAGAGCTCTGCTATTGCTCTCACCTGAGATCACTGTGTCTTCTAGAACATAAACCTTCAATTTGTCGCATGCCTTTAATCCGTTTCCAAGGATTAAAGTTTTTAAAAATATTATATAGTTTTATTTCTATTTTTATGGGAGAAGATGAATAAATTCCTCACTCAACCATTCTGTCTGTGTGGTCTGAGGGTGCACTTTGCTAGTTCCACTTACAAATGATTCAGTGCCTCATACAGGCTCAGAACACTTGGACAGGGGCTTGGTGGTATGCTGGAGGAAGCTGCGAGTCTTGTGGGTTCTGTTGTGGCATACATGAATTGCACATGTTCTAGCACCTGTTGGTTTAACACGGTGGAAAGGAAAACCCAAATGCTACCCAGAGCTCACCTCGGAGGCTGCATTTGGAAAGCACATATGAGCATGGCACCACCATACACTTACAGAACAGTGAGCACAAGCACCCTCATCACAGAGCGGGAGATTTGCAGGTGCTGGGCATTTTACAAGTATGCTATCAGAGCATCAGCCTCCTGAATACACTTGCTACAGGCAACCTGATGTGACTTTGTTTAAAATATAGTATACTATTGAATTCAGTACAAAATGGCTTTGTTCATTTTTTCTTTTTTTTCTGCTTTTCCCTGTGATGCACGGGGGTTACTCCCAGTTTAGCACTCAGGAATTACTCCTGGCGGTGCTCAGGTGACCATATGGGTTGCTGGGAATGGAACCCAGGTTGGCTGCGTCCAAGGCAAATGCCCTATCCACTGTGCTATCACTCCAGCCTCTGTTCACTTTTTCAAGAAATGATATTTAAAACAGAGAAGTAGACCTTTGTGATATACGAGAAGTTAAGGTTGTTAAATGCCTGTTGAGGTATGTGTGTTTTTCGGTTCCTCAGGTGGCATATGCCCTCGAGTTACCAGGCCTTTGGGGTGCCGCTTCTCCTTTACGTATGACGTGTCCTCTTCCCTCAGAGTGACTGTCTGGGAATGCAGCCTCCTCTTCCTGATGGCCCATTCTTCTTACCAAGTGTTAGCACTGCCCAATAAACTCCCCCAATACATTTTACTTGTGTATAAATTTGTATGAATCTTTTTTTTTCACACCACACTCTGCTATGAGTTGTGGGTTCACCTCCTTACTCTTAGTACACTTTGCCATTCTAGTCTCTTAGTGAAAGATCCAACACATAGTTAGTACTCAAGGAACATTTACTTAATGAGTGAAACAATGACTAAGAGGACAAACCCCAAAAGATTTGACACAAATATATGTATTAAACATAACTGCACGGGGCTGGAGTGATAGCACAGAGGGTAGGGCATTTGTCTTGCACGTGGCCCACCCGGGTTCGATTCCCAGCATCCCATATGGTCCCCTGAGCACTTCCAGGGGTAATTCCTGAGCGCAGAGCCAGGAGTGACCCTTGTGCATTGTCGGGTGTGACCCAAAAAACAAACAAACAAAAACCATAACTGCAAAACACATATTCAAAAGTTATGGACATGTTTGTAAATATCTTGACTTGTGTAGCTCATGCTGGGTGGACCTGTGGAGATTCTAAATCCCAAATGTTCTTGCCCGAGTCTGAATTTCAGAATGTCACAGACTGAACTGTGACCTCCATACCCCCTTGTCCCCACCCCAGCTTGTCTCTCCCTCTGTGGATGGTGTGCCTTCATCTCTGCATGGCAGAGCCTCTGATGAGCTTGTCACTTGCCTGCTCTGTTGGTCCCTCACAACCCACCCATCCTTGCTACTGCCTTTGCTCAAATTACTAAAGCCATGTCCTGCTGTGATCTCCCTGCTCTCTGATATTGTGATTCTTTTAGGAGTTAAAAGTGGATGGATGGCGACACTGCGCCGTGAGGTTGGAGGTGGGAACATTATAAAAACTATTGTAAACAGCTATGTAAATAACATCGAAATACTTTTTTTTAATTTCAAGAAAATATTTGAACTTGAACTTGGTGAAGAACTAAGAGGTTGTAACTGAATACATTCATGCTTTTCTGCACAAACAATACAATTTTTTCCCTTTGCCTCAGAGAAGTACAAAGCGGGCACTGCTGGGAGTTCACTTGCCTCATTGTCTGATCATTTTTCTTACTGTCCCATACCTGGTTTTATGGTGCTCTACCTGCCAAAAAATGTATCAGAAGAGTCTGACAATAAAAGCAGTTTTTAAAATAATTCTCTAAATAATTGTCCTTACTAGCCTTAAACTGTAGCACTGTAGCACTGTCCTCCCATTGTTCTTCGATTTGCTCTCGTGGGCACCAGTAACGTCTCCATTGTGAGACCTGTAGTTACTGTTTTTGGCATATTGAATACGCCACGGGTAGCTTGCCGGGTTCTGCTGTGCGGTGGGATACTCTCGGTAGCTTGCCAGGCTCTCTGAGAGGGGCGGAGTAATTGAACCTGGGTCTGCCATGTGCAAGGCAAATGCCCTACCTGCTGTGCTATCACACAATGAATAATGTATCTGACTACAGATCAGCCTTAAACATAAAGGGAAATATACATATATACACACACATACATATGTCCATGTATGTATATATATAGACCTATATGTATATGTAGCATATATATATATATATATATATATATATATATATATGCATGCCTCTTGGAGAGCCCAGCAAGCTGCCAAGAGTATCCCGCTCCAAGAGGGGTGGAGGAATCAAACCTGGGTATGCCACATGCAAGGCAAATGCCCTACTGGCTGTGCTATTGCACAATGGATATCACATCTGACTACAGATCAGCCTTAAACATAGAGGGAAATTATATATATATATATATATATATATATATATATACACACACACACATATGTACATGTATGTATACATATAGACCTATATGTATATGTAGCATATACATATGTTTTTGTATATATATACATACATATATATCTTGGAGAGCCCAGCAAGCTTCCAAGAGTATCCCATCCTCATGGAAGAGCCTGGAAAGCTACCCATGGCATATTCGATATGCCAAAAACAGTAACAATAATGGGTCTCATTCTTCTGACCCTGAAAGAGCCTCCAATGTAAGACAAGTAAGGAGAGGCTGCTAAAATCTCAGGGCTGGGATGAATGGAGACATTACTGGTGTCCGCTTTAGTAAATCGATGAACAATAGAATGACAGTGATACAGTGATATAGTGATACAACCTTAAACAAAACCAATCAATTATTTCAACAAAAGAAAAGATTCAGAAACCAACATAACAAGAGTGCATGTTTATTACAAGATGGAAATGTACATCCTCAGAATCCAAAGTAACCCTAAAGACTTATTTTTAGGATCCTTTGAGGACCCCTCAAGTCTTCAAAATGTAGGCAGCTTTGCCTGAGAACCTTCAAGTCTGCTTTTCTGGGGACAGCAGGCCTATCAGATTGTGATTGGCAGCTTTGTGTATGTGTGCACTCTCCTTGTGTCCAGACCTCATGCAAATAGAGCTCTGAATATCAACTTAAATTTTGACTCAATTCGCAGTATCTCTAGACACCACCTATTTGTGAGATTTTTCTGATTTGTATTTTCACTATTTCCTCTACCTTCCTCTCTGAAGCTCTTGGTCACTTATCCTCAACCCTTGGAGCTGAAACAATTCCTGAGTGCTAAACCAGGGAGGCTGTGTGTAAGCCAAGACTCCTGGAGCTAGAGCAGGGTGAGGTGGAGGAGGTACAGAGGAAGCCAGAACTAGGGGCTGGAGCCATACAGGAGGGAACTGGCCAGGGAGAGGTCAGGGAGGGG